GTTGAAGAGTAAAAATGTCAGCTTGAGGACTAAGGTGTGCCTGACCCAAGCCATGGTATTTTCAATAACCTCATATGCATGTGAAAGCTGGACAGTAAATAAGGAAGACCATAGAAGAATTGATGCTTTTGAGTTTTGGTGTTGGAGGAGAATATTGAAAGTGCCAAGGGCTGCCAAAAGAACCAACAGATCTGTGTTGGAAAAAGTGCATCCAGAGTGCTCCTTGGAGGCCAGGATGGCCAAACTTCGTCTCGCATACTTCAGACATATTGTCAGGAGGGACCAGTCGCTGGAGAAGGATATCATGTTTGGTAAGGTGGAGGGTCAGAGAAAAACAGGAAAACCCCCCAGTGAGATAAATTGGCAAAGTGTGGCAACAATTGTGAGATTGGCCCAGAACCGGGCAGTGTTTCATTCTGTTCTGCTTAGGGTTGCTATGAGTTGGTACTGACTCGATGGCACCTAACAACAACAATGCTGTAATTCCACATAGAAATATTTTACCAAACAATTTTCCTAGAATTCATATAATCAGGAACCCTGGTGGCACAGCGGTGTACAGTTTGGTACAGGAATAGGTCCATGTGGGGGTGGGGTGGGGGTGGTTTCCTACACTGGTGACACCAATGCTATTGGAACCAGTGCTGTAAACCCTGAGGAGCAGTTCTACTCAGCTCACGTGGAGTCAAAGCAGAATCAACTCAACAGCAACTAACAGCCATAAAAGACTCTCAAGAAATATTTTCTGACTAGAACAGAGGGAAGAAGGGAGGGAAGATAAAGAAGGAATTAGGGAGAAAGGGAGAAGGAGGGGTTGGCAAGGATAAAGAAAGATAACATATGAGGGGGAAGCACAGAGAAGGGAGGGGAAGGCTGGGAGGGAAAGATTTCTCATTATATAGAGGCTGGTCCATTCAGATTTGAAACCCTCCCAACATTAGCCAAAAAGACAGTTTAATGCCAAAATATCACTCCCTGGCTGTTAGGGAAATTCAGAAAACTTTGAGCGGAAATAGGGATTCTCTAAAAGAGATCTTTGCTGCCACCCTCTTCAAAGTTAATTAAGTGTGGCGGTAAGACCCATGCTGTTTGGGATATTTATGTAATGAAAAGATCTTCTAAAAATAGCACCAGCAGCCCAGCTCATGGAGCTGCAGAAGGTGACGAGCTGTGATCCCAGCATCCACACAGTGGTTATGATTAAATGAGGCTTCTCATAT